AAATAAAGTTATAAAAAATATATATTAAAAAAATAAAAACTGGGGATGTAGCTTAGTGGTAGAGTACCCCTGGGTTCAATTTTCAGTACCATAATATGTGAAGAGATAAATAAATAAGTGAGGCTATATAAGGGAGATCTTTTCACTCTCTTTTGCTTGGTTTTAATTTTTCCTTGCATATATTGAAATTTATAGAAGGAAAAAGAAAAATTAGTTGTTTTAATAGGGGTCTAACTGCCTTAAGTCAGAGACTACAACTTGTGAAAATTTATTAAAAACAAGTATGCAGGGGCTGGGTGGTAGCGCGCTTGCCTTGCACGTGTGGGGCACTGGGTTCGATCCTCAGCACCACATAAATTAATAAAATAAAGGTATTGTGTCCATCTACAACTAAAAAAAAAAATAATAAAAAAAAAAGTATGCAGAGCTGGGGTTGTGACTCAGTGGTAGAGCGCTTGCCTCACATGTGTGAAGCCCTGGGTTCAAGTCTCAGCACCACATATAAACAAATAAATAAATGAAGGTCCATCAATAACTAATAAAAAGATTTTTTAAAAAATATAAATTGGTCTTCCTGAATGAATATTTGCCTAAGAAAAATTAAATTGCATTTAATAATCAACATTAAGCAGAATCTTCCATTGTTTTCTCCTGGTGATTCAAAACAGATGAATATATCTGGATGCAGTGGCACATCCCAGTTACTGAGGAGGCTAAGAAACAAGGATAACAAGTTCAAGGCCATTCTCAGCAACTTAGTGAGACCCTATCTCCAAAATAAAGGGGGGGGGGGGCAGGAAGGCACTGGGGATGTGGCTCAGTGAACCCCTGGATTCAATCTCCAGTGCAAGGAAAAAGATGAGCATACTAAGCCAACATGCACCATGGGATGATCTTATGTTCAAGCATTATTATATTTTTCAGTGAAGAACATCAATGAATAACTGTGATTTAGCCTTAGAAAACATACTAAAATCCTTTTTTGCAATAATTTTCAAAATATTCTCTATTTAATATTTGATATATATTTTTTTAATAATTTTATTTACATTTTGGTTTTTGGTGGACACAACATCTTTGTTTGTATGTGGTACTGAGGATCGTACCCGGGCCGCACGCATGCCAGGCGAGCGCACTACCGCTTGAGCCACATCCCCAGCCCCTGATATATTTTTTAAAACTGCCAATCCAACAGAATTCTTGGGGAAAAATTACTACACCAATAATTAGGATGTACTTTAAACACCATTTGGAAAAAGAGTTGCAATATTATGACAGATCTAGAAACAATGAAGCTGGTTAAAATCAACCAATAATGTTGTTCATCATTTATCAACTATCAGTATCCAGGAAAATCCTTTCTTAAAAGTGTCTTGGGCTGCAGTTGTTGTTCAGTGGTAGAGAGCTTGCCTAGCATGTGTGAGGCACTGGGTTCGATTCTCAGCACTGCATATAAAAAAGAAAGAAAATAAAGATCCATCAACAACTAAAAACTATTTATAAAAAAAAAAAAAGGAAGTGTCTCACTGGCATAGGCCTGAAATCCCAGAAACTCAGGAGGTGAAGGCAGGAGGATTTCAAGTTCAAGGCCAGCTTCAGCAACTTAGCAAGGCCGTAAGCAACTTAGCAAAACCCTGTCTCAAAACAAAAAAAAATAAAAAGGGCTAGGGATGTGACTCAGTGGTTTAAAGCCCTGAGCTCAATCCTCGTATCAAAAACAAAGAAAAGAAAGATAAATTTACTAATAAAGAGCCAAGAAATGCTATAAAAATAAGTCTGAACAATAAGCCTACACATGTCTCAATTACACTTAAAAATAATAAATCTTATTTGCTCTCCTATGTAAATGCACAGGGGGGAAAAAAACTTGAACAAAGTACAAGAATAAAACAGAGGACATCTTTCACTTTTAATCTGAGTACCTCTATACTGTTTGTTGCCAATAGCATATATTATTTGTATATTTTTGTGTGTGTGTTTGTTGTACTGAGGACAGAACACAGGAGCACTTTACCACTGAGCTACCTCTCCAGATTTTTTCATTTTTAATTTTGAGTCAGGGTCTCACTAAATTGCCAAGGCAGGCCTCAAATCATTCTGCCTCACCCTCCCAAGTTGCTGTGATTACAAGTATATGCCATAGAACTGTTTTTAGAAAAAGGAAATAAGGGTCCAGGATAGCTCAATGGTAGAGTACTTGCCTTGCATACAGGAGGCCTTGGGTTCAATCCCTCAGGCAAGAATATTAATTAAGTAATTTTCTAAAAATATTTTTTTAGTTGTCAATGGACCTTTACTTTATATATATTCATTTGCAGTACTGAGGATGGAACCCAGTGCCTCACATATACTAGGCAAGTGCACTACTGCTGAGCCACAGCAACAGCCAGAGTCCCTAATTAATTTTTTTAAAATAAAAGTACACATATACACAAAAAAGGGAGATTATATGCTTTTGCCTTTTTAGGATAAAGACTGTTATTTATTTGAGGTTCAACCATCCTGGGTTCTGACCATTTGCCACAAACATAATATTATTAAAATTAAAAGTATGCATTATCAATTACATTCAAATGCCCATATCAGTATAAAAAACAATCACTATGTGAGAGAAAAAAATTCCTGCATGATATAAAGGTATAACATTTCCTAAGGCTGTGTATTAACACAAGGTGGAGGTTTCTCTTTTATTAATGGTAGAATAGCTCATACTGGAACAACCCTTCTATACATAATCATTATAAACTCTGGAAAAGGCACTGGGGAACACCAAAAGAATGGCAAAAACAAAAGAGGAGTCAGACATTTGGGATAATGGAAGGGCACTAGATCAGCTGCCCATTTTTTATCTTTTTGCCCAAATTCAAACTCCAGTCAATAGTATCAGGTAGCTACAATTCACATAGAAACTTTCAGTCTTGGTGGTTAAAAAAGCAATACAAAGTTCAGTGCAGCTACAACTTCTTCGAGGGGTGGGAAGAATCCATTAGAAAAAAGAAAATCACAAGCAGGTGGCCCCAACTTTTGCAATATAAACTTTGCCTATGTCTCTCATTTCTAAAAATATAAAGAGTTACAAACTGGATGGGGTTGTGGCTCAGAGGTAGAGAGCTCGCCTAGCATGCATGAGGCACTGGGTTTGATCCTAAGCACCACATAAAGTATAATAAAGACATTATTTCCACCTATAACTAACTAAATAAATAAATGTTAAAAAAAAAAGTTATGTATTTCTTTAAAAAAAATAAATAAATAAAAATAAAGAGTTACAAACAGTTGAACAAAGACCTGAACAGAGACTTCACCTGCTGCCCATTACAGAGAAAAAGAATTTGGACTTTGAGTTCAACCAAGTTAACTGCCATTTAAAAAATAAAGAACTCAGTACTCCTTAGAGGAACAAACATAATACCAACTCCTCAACATGACCAGAATACAATCCAAAATATCAGGCATATAAACAAAGGCAAAATATGGCCCATAGTCAAAAGAAAAGTCATTTGATAGGTATTAACCCCAAGAAAATCTAGGTGTCGGATTTGACAAAGACTTCAAAACAGCTATTAAAACTTTGCTCATAATGAATAAACACAATGGAAATCTCAGCAGAGAAGTTGGATCTAAGAAAATGTAAGTTCTAGCAGTTAAAAAAAATATTCAGTGGATGGGCTTAACAACAGATTAGAAAGAAGAAAAGGAATTGCAAAATAAAGGGAAATAATTATTCAACCTCTAACACAAGATAGACTTGGAAAACCAAAAAGTAGGTAGAGATTCAGTAACTTATGAAATAATATCAAAATCTGACAAAGCTGGACATGGTGGCACATGCTTGTAATCCCAACAATTTGGGAGGTCAAGGAAAAAGGTCCAGAAGTTCAAAGCGAGTCTTAGAAAATTAGTGAGACCCCTCAGCAACTTGGCAAGATTCTGTCTCAAAATTAAAAATAAAAAGAATTGAGGATGTAGCTCAATGGTAGTGTTCCTGGGTTTAATTCTGGCCCTACCACCGCAAAAAATAAATATATATATATACACACACACACACACACACATATATACACATACATAGATATACGTCATACATACATACACATAGACATAACTGTTTTAGAGCAAAACTCATAATACTGCATTGAGAATTCTATAGCATATGTAAATACAATTCATGGAACTAGAACAAAATGGGAAGTTAATAGAACCACACAAAAATCTATATAGAGCAGTTCAATATTCACTCTAAACTGTGAAAAGTTAGGGATATATATCAGAATCCCTAGAGTACAAGGAAGGACGGAGGGAAGAAAAGAGGAGAAGGAAGTAGGGAGGGGCAACATATCAAAAGTCTATAGGATGCAGCTTAAATAGTACTTCCTGAGAAATTGATAATTTTAAACTCTTGGGCTGGGGTTGTAGCTCAGTGGTAGAGTACTTGCCTTGCATATGTGAGGAACTGGGTTCGATCCTCGGCACCACATGAAAACAAAGATATTGTGTTCATCTACAACTAATATATATTTTAAAAAAAAAACAAAACTCTTTACTAGAAAGGATGAACAAAACCTAAAATCACTGAGCTAAGGTTTGCAAAGGATTGAAAGAAAACAAAAATCGAAATAGAAATTAAATTTTTTAAAAGAAAAACAATAGAGAAAATTAAAATAAAAGGTTAGTTCTTGGGAAACTCCCTCTCTTGTCCTGTGGGAATTCTGTCTCTTTTCTTCTTGCTTGAATAAATCCTACTTTTATACTCAAAAAAGTTCTTTGAAACTATTAACAAAATTGACAAATCTCTAGCCATGCTAATCAAGAAGAGAGGGAATACAGATTACCAAAATCAGTAATGAAAGGGTTAGAGCATTAAAATAAAAATATTATTAATAAATAATGATAAAAACATCATTAGAAAAGTTTTTTTTTGTTGTTGTTGTTGTTTTAGTTCACAAAGCACAAGCAAAACTATATGTAAAAAGAAGATTGAGTTAACTCTAAATATGAACCTTCCACAGTTGAAATCTCTTGTAACTCAGCAAGGGGCGATGTTGGTTCTGTTTTCATAGTGTTTTCTCCCATTGAGTTGCAATTCAATTCCAGGCCTACAGCCCCCAATCCATCCCCAAAGGAGTGGCAAGTTAGTGCAGATGAGACCGAGCCAGCTTCCAAAGGAGATTTCAACTGACCTAGAAGAAAACAAAGAAAGCACTTGAGATATATTTTACACACACACATATTCATCAATCAATCAATCTAAAAACCAAAAGTCCTATAACAGACTAAGAAAGCCTGGGACTTGGAGAAACCCCATTAATCTCATAACATATAAGAGTGGCATGGAGGCTAGGGTTGTGGCTCAGTGGTAGAGTGCTTGCCTAGAATGCATGAGGCAGTGGGTTCAATCCCCAGAACCACATAAAAATAAACAAATAAAATAAAGGTATTGTCTCCATAGACATCTAAAAAATAAAATAAAATAAAATTTTTAAAAAAGTGGTGCATGCCTATAATCCAAGCAGCTCTGAAGGATGCAGGAGGACAGGCTGCAGGACTTTTTGAGTTCAAAGCCAGCCTCAGAATTTTGTGAAGCCCTAAGCAACTTAGTGAGACCCTATCTCCAAAAAAAAAAAAAAAAAGTACATTCACAGGTCCCCACACATACAGCCAAGGCTGTAAGCATTTCAAGAATGAGGCTAGGGGCTTGGGGACATAGCTCAGTTGGTAGAATACTTGCCTCACATGCACAAAGCCCTGGGTTCAATCCCCAGCAACACACATATACACATACAAAAAAAGAGGCTACAGTGAAAGGAGAAATACTGGAAATGTCAACAAAAGGCAGAGGCGTAGAGTGAGATGGCACCAGAAAAGACAGAGGCAGGGCTCTTCTAGTACTGTATTCCAACCCAGCAGGAAATAATATAAAAACACAACTAACCACAAATGCATCCAGAAAGCTTGTCTACTGAATGAATAATCAATGAAGAACCATATGAGAATACTGCAGCTCATTTAATAATTTGATTTTAAGACAACCTAACACTTATGGAAGCTAGAGATGGTTCTTACTAGAAAAGCACCAAGTTGGCAAAACAATTTCAAAACAGTCTCTGACTCACCTTCTTCAGGTTCCTTGGTACTAGATGATTTGTTTTGTGAAGGATCCGTATCGACTTTATCAGCCAAATCTGGTACAACCAAGTTAGGATCTAGGATCTCATGGGTCCCGTTAGTGGACAGCCTGGAAGACCGTCTCCTGGACAAGTCTTTGTCAGCGTTTTCGGAACAGTTTTTTGACTTTTCCTGGGCTATAAACCATTAAGAGAGTTGTAATCCAAAGAGCAACAGGAATAAATAATTGTTACTACAGATTTCTGGGTTAGGTGCCTCCGTAAAGAATTATAAGAGAAACTTCTGGAATGTTAAATTATTAACCTTTCTCTATAGTTTAAAGCAAAAGCAAAGTCTCTGCCAGTATAGATTTTATTTTGTTAAGAATTAAGAGAGTGTAGGGGCTGGGGTTGTTGCTCAGTGGTAGAGCATGTGTAGGGCCCCGGGTTCGATCCTCAGCACCACATATAAACAAACAAACAAACAAATAAATAAAAAGCCCTTTGACAACTAAAAAACAAAAACTGAAAAAAAAAAAAAGAATTGAGCGTCTGAAAATATGTGCCAAATCATGTCCCAGTCTTGTCAATTAAGTTCTATTTTGGAGCTTCCCAAATGAAAGTCTATAATGTTAACATCCAAAGTCAATTAAGTTTTGTTTATTTGTTTGAGTGGCAGGTTACTGAGAATTTAAACCCAGGGCTTCACATGCTAGGCAATAGAGTTTTATTTAGAGGCATCACAAATTCTTTAACAGGGTATTTTTCTTACCAATAAATAGTATTTTAAAAAGTTTCACTTAGGGAATAAAGTCCATACCTTCCTATGCCTTTAAATTTCTAAAGGAATCCAAATCAAATGTAGTTTATTGAAATGGATATGACACCACTGAACCCAACACTAATACAATTTTGTGTTTCTTCTAAGCAAAAACTCCAGTTTCAACTACAGCCCATTCACATTAATTCATGCAATCAAGGACAATCTTTTTAGGGGGGAAGGGTAAGAGGAATGAATCCAAGGATGCTTTACCACTAAGCTATATCCCCAGCTCTTTTTATATTTTATTTTGAGACAGAGTTTATGTTGCTTAGAGACTTGCTAAGTTGCCCAGACTGGCCATGAACTTGCAATTCTCCTGCTTCAGACTTCTGAGTCAGAGGGATTACAGGTGTATGTTACCATGCAGCACAGGAACAACCATTAGAGCCTATAAGGCATAGAAGACAGGATGGACCTAGAGGAGGCTGACCCAAATAATGCCCAATTCTAGCCACACATACACAAACTGGAGACTCACATGAATTTTTATCAAGTCGAGGACGTTTTAATGGGATATCACTTCCTTTTGATATTTTCCGTCTTCTCAATTCCAATGTTATTGGTTGCAAAGTCTGAGAATTTGAATCCACAGCTATGATGTATACAGAACCATACAAAAAAGATATGTAATTTCTCTGTGTCCAATCTTGCATTTTATATAAAAATTACTTAACATATGAAGACATCCTTGCATTGTAAATAAACCCTCAAAAGGGGCATTATTTCTAAGGCACAAGAAAAAACAGTGAAATAAATGAGAAATTACTACCTCTGGGACATGCTGACACTCTGCAGATTGATATCCTAAATCTCTTTTTGTACTCTCTCTTATGACCCAGCTTTCTTAAAACCCTCTTCTTAGAACACCACAGTGCAACATGACTGCTTTTTACCTGAAGTTGCATGAGCAACAGAAAAGTCATTTTTGTCACCATTAAATCATCTCTTCAAAATTGTATCTACTGAGAAAAGGGGGGGGGGGAGGGAATCTGACTTATCCAATATTCTCCTGAAATCCATCATGCATGCTAATTCCTAAAATGTATATCTAGAGTTTAATTACTGTTTTTAATTTCTTCTTGCTGAATTTGTTATCATTAGTTTTAGTTTTGAAGGTTAAAAAGAATGCCAACATTTATATTCTTTAAAAAAAAAAAAAAAGGCCCAGGCAAATCTCAGAAGAGCATGCTTTTGACAGTCAATGTTGCAGGAAGCTCTCACAGAATTCAGTAGTGCAGACACAAAGCCCTCAAAGATTGCTCGCTATTTTTTTTTTTTATTCTCGTTTTTTTTAAAACTAAAATTTATAAAGCTCTCCCCCAAAATAAAAAAAAAAAAAAAAAAAGAATCTAAAAGGCAGACAGAAGAAGAAAAAAAAAAGGAAAAAGAAACTGGGGAGCTTTTGACAGGAAGGCAGAGCTAAAGTGGGTAAGGAAGAGTGAGAGAGAAAGGGGAAGAGATAGGAAGGCAAGTAAATGGTAGAAGGAAAAGGAATGAAGAGAAGAAGAAATGGAGAGAGAAAAAACTCATCTAAGTCCAATATATGCACATCTGCCATGTCAAATGGCTGAACACAAACAGGGCTGAGCTCCGAGGCCACCCTCATTCTTGGCTCTTCCTGTGTTCAGACTTCCCAACATGCCAACATTCTTCTGTTCCAAGTGGTAAGAACTTGGATCACACACATTCCAAGTTAAACACAAATACAAGCAACCCTCTCAAAATAGCTCAGAATCTATTCCCAATCAATTCTATACAAGCTAGGGAACCCAAGGCTCTACCAAATCAATGAAAACTTATTCCAAGCAATTTCGTTAAGGGGATTTGAACTATGTATGAGATATTTGGCAAGTCGCCTTCTTTTTGTACTGGGGATTGAACCGAGGGATACTTTTTACCACTGAGTCTTTTTTTTTTTTTTTTTTTTTTTTTGGTGCTAGGGATTGAATGGGCTCTTTATCACTGAGTTACATTCCCAGTCCTTTTTATTTTTATTTTGAGACAGGATCTCACTAAGTTACTGAGGCTGACCTTGATAAGGTTTCATTAAGTTGCTGAGGCTGGTCTCAAACTTTTGATCCTTCTCTTCTTTCTGCCTCAGCCTCCTGAGTAGCTAGGATTACAGATGTGTTCTACCATGCCCAGCAAGCCTTTTTCCTTTTGATACCTTACAGAAATGAGAACTGACCATACAAAACTTGAGTATTGTTAACAATTCACATTGCCAAGAAGATGTGAAGAAAAACATTTTTACAATGTTGGTAGGGTTGTGAATTAGCATAATCACTATGGAAATCAGTGTCGAAGTTCCTCAAAAGACTAGTAATGGAACCACCACCATATGACCCAGGTATACTACTCCTCAGTATTTATCCTAAAGAATTAAAAGTCATCATACTATAGTGATACATATATACAAATGTTTACAGCAACACGATTCACAATAGCCAAACTATGGAACCAGCCTAGTTGTCTGTCAATGGATGGATGGATAAAGAAAATGTGATATATACACAATGGATTTTACTGAGCCATAATAAAACTATGACACTTGCAGGAAAATGGATGGAACTTGACAACATTATGTTAAATGAAATAAACCAAACTCAGAAAGCCAAAGGTCATATGTTTTCTCTCATATGTGGAGGCTAAAGAGGAAAAAGGAAAAGAAAGGTATGTGTGTATTGGGGGGGGGGGGTGTATTTCTTATGAAAATCTCCCAGAAGGCTGTCTAGAAAGCAACTAAATTTAAGGACAGTACTGACCTACAGAAGTACAATGAAAGCCAGAAATAGAAGCCCCACATAATTTTTAAAATTTTAGTAGTCATAGTAACAAGTTTTTAAAAATCAAATTAAATAATTTATTTTATTTAAACATATTAATACATTAATACATTTAAAAACATTTCAACATGTGGGCTGGGGCTGTAGCTCAGTGGTAGAGCACTTGTCTAGCCCGTGTAAGGCACTGGGTTTTATCCCCAGTACCACAAAAAAATAAACAAATAAAATAAAGGCATTCTGTCCATCTACAACTATAAAAAAATTTTTTTAAACCAATATTTCAACATGTAATCAATATAAAAAAAATTACTGGGATTGGGATGTAGCTTAGTGATAGAGTACTTGCCTAGTATGCACAAGACCCTGAATTTGAGCCCCATCATCACAAAAGAAAAAAAAGAGTTTGTGCTCTTTTTTTGTACTGAGTATTTGAAATCCAAGTGTTCATTTTATACAACACATCTCAATTCCAAGTGCTCAACAGTCACATGTGGCTTGTGGCTACCTTATACACAGATCTAGCCCCTATTCAGGGATAGGGACAAGTCCAGCATGCTCAGCCCCCACCTCCACATACTCATCCCCACCCCCCCACCCCCATTACCAGGGACTGAACCCAAGGGCACATGACCACTGAGCTACACCACCAGCCCTTTTTATTTTTTATTTTGAAACAGGGTCTTGTTAAGTTGTTGAGACTGGCTTTGAGCTTGCAATCCACCTGCTTCAGTCTCCTGAGCCACTGAGATTACAAGCATGCAATACCATGCCCAGCAGCATGCTCAGCTCTCGAGAATAAAATCCAACTATAGTTACTGAAATAAGGGAAGTCCCTTATTTCATCTGAGGACAAATCAGTCTATTATCTAATTTCCTATAAAATTAGAATTTAGATATGAGAAGCTAGTCTATTGGGAGTAAGTACAAAATACATTTATTTGATGTAAATTAAGGTAGACTTTTTCCCACAAAAATTGGATCTGATGGGGCATTTTGGTTTGATAAGGAGGATTGGCTTTGCATGCTACTATATTAGGGAATAAAAGCTACTATATTAGGGAATAATGAATGAACTAACACTGTAGTTTCACTGTTTTGATGAAAATATATTTTACGTCAAACTTTATATTTTAAAGTTATTTAAAAAAACTAGATATTACTTAAAAATGTGCTAAGAGATTCACAGTTTTTCAATATTTGTATAGGGAATATGCAAGGAAGAATGTCTAAAGACCAACGCCACATATTTAATCATGAACAGGTTTGGTCTAGAACCCTAGGAGATTCTTCATTTATACAATCAATCTGGAAAATGAATATTTGGCTTAGGAAGAAATCAAGATTTGTTTCATCCTTGGTTTTCTAGGAGTTCCAAGCTTATACTTCTTTTTAAAATAACTATATCTTCCTCTAAATCTATGTCCTCTTTGACTCTTATCAATTAACCATCTCAACTTTTTATTTTACTGTTTATTTGTTTATTATTTTGCAGTGCTGGGGATTGAATCCAGGACCTCTCACATGCTACATAAGCACTCTATATAAATGTGGCATATATACACAATGGAATTTTACTCAGCAATAATAGAATCATGACATTTGCAGGTAAATGGATGGCATTAGAGAAGATAATGCTAAATGAAGTTATCCAATCCCCCCAAAAAACAACTGAGCTGCATACACTCAGCCTTAGCTTTTTATTTAGACTTATGAAAATTTCCTATCAATAATCACTCTCTAGAGAGATCAATTTCATAATGCACCTATGCCTCCCTAGCTCCAGCATCCTTCTGGCCCACTTTTTCCTTTTTTTTTTTTTTGGTTCTGGGAATTGAAATCAGGGTCTTATGTATACTTAGGTCATGCTGTACCACTGAGCTACACTCGCAGCCCCTGCCTACCCCATTTTCCTCCTCCTCTTTTCCTCTTTCTTATCTGTCTCATTAAAACCATATTTCCTAATGCCAGGTTTTATCAGGCTTCTTTCAATTGAGATCATCTGAATAGACAAGCAAAAGGTCTTGGCTCATTGGGCTTTGTTATGTAAGCTGAAGTCTCTGAGGAGAGTCTACCAACCCAAAGCTGGGTCCTGCCCACACTCCCGAACATGCCTCACTTAGAGCCAGGTCTCTGGTACAACCTGCTCTCAATCACAGCCAAAGTCAGTCACAAATACAAAGAACTGAAGTGCAGAAGGTAGAAAGACCTGCAAAAGGCCACAGAAGAACATTCTGGAATCACCCACTGCAGAGCCCACTTGGAAAACTCACCAGTAGGAGCTATGGAAGGGGGTCTGCCTCGTTTTCTTTTTGGCTCCCTCAAGTTCTCCTGTGGACTCTTCACAATGTCGTTTTCAGGTTTTTTATCCACTTGAGCGTCTGCAGAGTACTCTCTGTCATTCTCTGAAATGTTCTCCTTATCTTCCTTCTCGTTCTTGGGAAGGCTTTTCTCCAACACCTTCCCTTTTTCAGCACAGATTAACTTTCCTTCTTTGTCGGGCAGTTTGGGTCGCTTTTCCGATTTTAAGGCTTTGTCCTCTTTGTCTTTCTTCACATTGACTGTGGCTTTTCTCTGCTCTTTAAATTTCTCTCGTTTATCGGAAGATGATGAAAGACTTTTGTGATCTGTTTCTTTAGGCCTAGCATTACCCACAATATTCTAAAATGAGCAAAATAGCGATGAAACACACTTTGTGATTACTTGCAAATCAAAAATTAGGAGGCTGTTTGCAAATTTATGGAGAAACTAAAAGAGGACATTTGCCATGTCACATAATGCAAAACACCACTGAAAATATACCCCGAAGTTTGAGGACCCATACTAAATAAAAACAAATACCGAGTTCAATTCTTCTGAGACAAAGAATGATGATGAGGTCACTAGAGAATGGATAAAAGGACAGACAACTACCCAGGATCTTTTCTGGAAACAATTTTTCTGACAGAGGTGTTCTAAAAAATGCTTTCAGGCTCTGACCCGCTTGTCCTCAGCCTGATTCTACAGACTCAGGACTTCTCAGAGGCCTACCTCAGTTTGCTAGCATATGCTAATGCCCCATTTTAGTGTAGAGAAAAACACAAACTGGTAATTGGGAGGTTCTGAATATAATCTGCCAATTCTGGACAAGCTCATAATTCAGTTATTTTTATCTATATTCAAATATACTCATTCCACAAACTTAACACAAATGCCAAATTTAAGGCCAAAATAACATTTTAGAGTGCCGAATAGTTCTTTAAATGCCTGAAGGAAAAATAATCGAAGAGAAAGTATTATTAGGACCAAAGTTCTATAATTTTGTCAATTTTTTTAAAAGGAAACCCAGAAGGTAAAAACATTTTTGAGGATACCTTTAAAGATATCATGTCTCATTCTTCAGTGGATGTATAGAAGAATTTGTTAAAATCTGTGATAAGTCAAAACATTTGCTCATCACAGGAAGACAGGACGGGGGTTAAAAAAAAAAAAAAAAATCACCAAATACTATCCCATCAACAATCATTGAAAGGTGAGTAGCCAATTATAATGTCCCAGTAATAAAATCTTTTACTAATTTCCTTTAGCTGTCTTAACAGCTAAACCAGTAACAGAATTTTTTAAAACACTAATATCCAAAATTTGATCTCTCGTTTCCTCTCACCTTTTCATTAAAATATTAAGATGGGGCCCAAGTTGTGGCTCAGTGGTAGAGCGCTTGCCTAGCATGTGTGAGGCACTGGGTTCGATCCCAGAGATCACTCAAAAATAAAAACAAATAAAATAAAGGTATTGTTTCGAATTTTATTATATATATATATATAAATATATATATATATATATATCTATATATATAATTATTTTTTTAAATCAAGATGACAGAAATTAACAGGGAAAAAAAATCATGATTAAAGTAGGCAACACAATCTACAGGCTCCTGTTTAGATCATATTTCCAATATCAAAACTCATACCCCATGCTCAAGCCAAGTACGTACAAGGTGCATGGGACACCAGAACACTAAATTCCTGAATCAGACATATCGAGCACAAGTGAGTGCTAAATCCACAGCAAAGGGTAAGTGTGTAAACCACCCAAGTCATGGTCCTAAGTCATGGTAAAGGACAAAGGTAGAACAGGGGAAAACATGTTCCAGGTCTGCTCTAGTGTTATGACAGGTTCCCTGTGATGGGTAACAACCATGGGAGAAGGGCAAGGAAGAAGAAAAAAGATGAGTAATCAGACACTTTTGAGAAAAGATGAGGAAAACAGATATCAGTTAGTAGTGTCCAAATATTCAGCATTTTTGAAAAAGACAATCTGAAAAAGACAATTTGAAAAAGAAATAGCAAAGATAGACAATATTTACAACGTCTGAAAATTCATGTATTACTTTCCGGTGAAACTGTGTCAGGTGGAGGAAATAAAGACTTGCCATCATAAACAAATGTAATGTCTTTATTTAAGAAACAAAAGTACAAAGTTAGCATTATTTTCATAACACAAAGCACGAAACCACATTTCTCACCTGATCTTTGGAAAAAGCTTTGACATGAATATGTTTGACAGTCTGAACTACTCCATCATAAAATTTCACAGTGTAAGTACCTAAAATTCAAGAAGATATTATTTTAACTTGTAGTTTCATGGAAGCAGCAATTTTTCAGAGCATAAACACAAGAGAGCTTCAACCACATAATACATTTAGGTGAGTTTAAAAACTTTTTTAAGAATCACATTCAAGGCTAAGGATGTAGCACAGTGGTAGAGCACTTGCTTAGCATGAATGAGGCCCTGAGTTTGCTCCCCAGCACCACCAAAAAAAACGATTTTATCCTATTTATGTTAGAAGATTATAGCATGCTTATCTTCATTTCTTAGTCAGGATTACAGTTTGATTTTTATCTATTAAACTCAAAATCTATCAAAAAAAAATCATTTTCATAATGCTTCATTAAAATAAAAATAGTCTGCACTGAATTTAGGCCAAAAACAAAAAAAGTAAAACAATTAAGAATGTGAGGAAAATGCAGACTTATTTTTTCCTTGGTGAATTATTAATTTTTGTAATTTAATATTTATTTTCTGGGCTTGGGGGCAGTAATATCTTTTTGGTTTTGTTTTTTGATACTGAGGATCAAATCTAGGGCCTCCTCCATGCTAAACACACACTCACTCTACCACTGAGCTACACCCCCAAGAAATAAACTTCAAAAATTATGCTAAAAGTATGTTTTCTGTGATTAAATTAATCTTAAAATCCATATGAATTAACTTCCTATTATGGTATTTGAAAAGAGACTTAGCCAAAACACTAAATGCTACCTGCTCTACTATCAGTTTTATTTTATTTCCATTAGAAGAGATTGTTAAGGATCACTCCCCCCCACCACCACTTTTCTTTTTTTTTGGCGGTGGGGGGAGGGTGCTAGGGATCAAACCTATGGCCTTGCACATGCTAAGCCCAAATTCTACCACTAGACTACATCCCCAACCCCCCCAAATATTCATATCTTCCCAAATAAAAATTCAACTACAACAGTTCTCATTAGTTGCACACAAACCAAAGCTTTCAAAACTTTGCATCTTAGAAGCAGAACTAATTCTGTATTCCTTTCCCCCAAACTCTGAGATTAAAAAAAAAAAAAAAAAAGTCACAGTTAATCTTCTCAAGATTACCAGTTAACAACTGGTAATTATGTAATGGTTTACCATTAGTAAACATAGTTCAATTTTCAGGACTGATTTTCCACCTAATAAAAATCCCTGACAAGTGGGAACAGAAGAATGCAATAAGGAATTTAAGATCTCCTGGTTACGTTGTTCTTTTTCTTTATTCTTTTTTTAAAGACAAGGTCTGCTATGTTGCCCAAGCTGGCTTCTAAACTCCTAGGGCCAAAGGATCTGTCTCCCTCAGGCTTCTGAGTAGCTAGGACTACAGGTGCTTGCCACCATGCCCAGCTTTTACCTCATTAGTGCATTCCCTCCCCATATCAAATTTCCTTCTGTCCTAAACAAAGCTTGTCAATAGCTAGCCAACCCTAGTATTCAAAGTCCAACACAGTCTGAGCCCGTTTTTCAAAACTATTTGTCTTTACTAGCATCAAATACCCACCAACTCAAAGTGACTTGCTATCCACTAAAAGTGCCTTTAACATTCCCATCTCCACATCTTTATCAAAATATTTTCCTGCCTAGAAGGTGCCATTTATTGATCCTTACGTGGTCAGCTCAAATGACCACAACAGATCTGTGAAAGCTTCCTGGCCTCTATACTACTAGCAAATTCAGACTGCTCTGAACTCCTCAGATTCATTTGGCACCTGGCCTGCAGAACTCCACATTTAGGTTTACCTTCATATACATACATATCTTAACTTGAAGGAAGGTTCTTCAAGACAGAGACAATGTCTTGCATCAGTTTCTTCCTCATACAGTGCCTGGGTCACAGCAGACCAGTGCTCAGAGTGTGACCAGCAGCATCAGTACTCCCGGGAACTAGTCAGGAGTACTGACAAGTACTTACCAGCCCCACTTCAGCTATACTGAATCAAAAACTCTGGGAGTGGGGCATAGAACTGTTTTTTTAAACAAGTCCTCCAGGTGATTCTGATACACACCAAAGTCAGAGAAGCACTGCCATAGGCAATTAATAATCACCTACTGACCTTTACTCCTGGGCATTACAACATAAAGGTGATTATTTACCAATATATCACCAATCAGAAAGAAACTGACTAGCAAAGATATCAGGATACACAAATAGGCTTGGTGGAGTAAAAACATCAGCAATGAGACGGCAGAACATGATCCAGGAAGACTAAGAATGTAAACATAAACAATTCTCTACATAAGGCAGCTCAATAATGATTTATGAGTCCCTACAACAGAGGTCTAGGTTCCTCTCTTTCCAAAAACTGTCTATACTGTGAGTGTACTGGCAAGCAAGAGTAACAGTGATACTTCAGAATTCTCAACAGACCCTGCTCATTCAAGTGTAATGTTGCTCCGCACAGTCTAGAAATGAAGTGGGAGGGAGAAGGATGGGGGAGTTTTAAGAATCCAGTTCTAGTAAAATCTGAAAAAAATCAGCCAGGCACAGTAATCCCAGTAACTCAGGAGGCTGAGGCAGTAGGATTGCATGCTCAAGGCTAGCCTCGGCAATTTAGCAAGGACCTAATAAGCAACTTGGGGTGGGGATGGGGCCTTTTCATAAAATAAAAAATAAAAAGGGCTGGGGGTATAGTTCAGTGGTTAAGTGCCCCAGGTTTAATCCCCAGTAACAAAAATGTAAAGTAAAATTTAATTTGCTGGTAAGTCACCCAAGCCTATACTTTCAACTGTTTTATCAACAAAGTTCAGTAACATCAAAACAAAAACTGTCATTTCTACAGATATTTCCACCATCCAAAAGGGCAATATTAAGTAGTAGTATCTGACAGCTATTTGGGGTTAATTTTGAGGCTTAATTAATTAGTTCTGGAGCTTCCCCTTGAAGACAGACTCCAGAATGAAGCCTTATATGAAAGACTCCAAGTTCCATGGGAAGTCTAAGGCAGAGAGAGGATGAGAACCCAAGACTGCCTATGAACCTCTGACCAGTTCTTTTCCCACCAGCTCACAATGCCCATAGTTCAAGTTGCTCAGCCTAAATCCAAACCACTCGCCCAGAACATTGCTGGCCACTATGAAATGACCCAAACTACAGTCAAAAGTGCTCAAAGGGCCCCTGTCCTTAGTTATCAATATCCTGTTCCTGACTTTTTTGACCTACAAGGGACTACAAGGGATCATCTTGGAACTTCCTCCCAGGATCATGCTGAACAAGGCCTAATTTGGGCTTCAATAAATCAGAAGGGCCAGGAGTGGTGGCATTTGCCTGTAATCCCAGTGATAGGGAGGCTGAGGCAGGAGGATCACAAATTCAAGGCCAGTTGCAGCAACTCAGCAAGACCCTGAGCAACTTAGTGAGACCTATCTCAAAGCAAAAAATAAAAAGGGCTGGGGATGTGGGTCAATCTCTGGTACCTAAATAAATAAACATACTTTTATGTAATAATAATAGACAACAATAGTGGGCTTAGGCCCACTTCTGGAGAAAGCCCAAAAATCTACTTTCATGGTTTCATGTATAACTAAAAGAGGGTCTTCCTGGGAAATTTTCCCATGGGTGGCTGATAACAGAGCTCTGCTGTGGCCACAAACGTCATCTAATGAATACCATGTAAATGTCAAAAAATAAATACATCCTTGGCCGGGGAGATAGTTCAGTGGTACAGCACATGCTTAGCATGAATGAGGCCGTGGATTTTAACCCTAGCATCAAAGAAAACAGCATATCCTGTTGTATCTCCTCTAACTTGACACAACGTTACCACCTTAGGTTCTCTTAAGGAACCTCTGCCCTTACTGGTACCAGATCAAACAAACCTTCCCAGCCTTGCCTCTCTGCGGGTTAAGAACTTCACATATCAGACAATCTTAGAGCAACCAGGAATAGCTGAAAGTCTGCTAAGAACAGAACTAATGATGCCCAGTAAGCTTATATTCTCCAAGATCAAGGAAGTAGGGATACACAGATGACTTTGGACTGTGCAATTTTTTTTGTGGGTATTTTTGTTTGTTCATTGTGGTACTAGAAATTGAACCCAGGGACTATCTACCACTAAGCTACATCCACAGCCCTTTTTATTTTTTAATCTGAGATAAGGTCTTGCTAAGTTGCTACGGCCTCAAACTTGTGATCCTCCTGCCTCAAACTCCCAAATCACTAGGATTACAGGTATGTGCCAACACACCTGGCTATGGACAGAGTTCTGCTGCTCTTAGATCCATCATGACAGTGACTGTGGAATCCCTTCTCCAGCCCATTCGTTCTCCAAGAATCAGAGAATTCCAAAGGCCACAGATGGTGTGTTCCTGAAGTCCTGAGGTTTCCACAGGTGTGCCTCAGCGGGTGGATAGAGGAATATGCACAGGATTGAAGGCCCGCCCACCTTCTCTACCCCTAAGCCTTTTCTTCTGAGCAATTTTATATTATTTGGCTTAGTTTCTGTAGCTGACAATTTCCAAAACTGCTCATCTGTTCCAATTCCTTGTTTGATTTCTAGTTGCTCAAATGAATCTGAAGCAAGAGCCCATAATCACTGAGCAGGGACTAAGACTACAGCCTCTCTCTCAATCAGGGCTCCAAAGACAGCACCAAGCTCCAGAAAGCACAGAGCACCTATACCTATGCTAGCATTATATCAGTGAACATCTGGGCATAATCCACAACTTCTGTCCCTTTAGGAAAATCCTGCTCCAATGTGGTAGAGAACAGCCTGGTACTGTTGGAAATGCAGGTCAGGGACTTTGGAGTCCCATAGACCTTCACTCAGATCTCTGATCCAACATTTATGTGCTTCAGGCAGTTTCCTCCTGTGAGCTCAGTTCATCATTTATAAAAGGAGGACAGGGTTAATAGCAATAACCTTTCCACATTTGTGTAAAGACTGAGATAAGACATGGAAATTACCTAGTACAGGCCCTGTCACAGAGTAAGGCATCAAGAAGTGATTCTAATTATCATCCACCAAGTCAATTTACAAGGGAAGCACCAATCCTCTCCCCCCACAGAAGTTAACAGCAAAGTGCTAGAGCACCTGCAGGTGTGGGCCTCAATCTTCCTCTTATCTCTGTGCAAAGCTGTTCACAATATATCAAACTCCCCACATTTCAAATGTAGGATCAGTTACAGCATGAAGAAAACAAAAAGTAGGAACTGCTGCAGCAGAGACTTGAGAATAAGACCATTTTCATAGCATCTCCTGTTACAAAAGCAAGTCTTGGGCACTATCCCGGAGAGACTGAACTAGGGGAAAGGGGAAGCACATGACCCAAAAATATGCATGTTTTTTAGGAAGGGGGACCTGATTTGTCTTCTCTACCAAGTTAAAGAAACAAAGATCAACAGAAAGAAACAATCCCCGGTTTTGTCATAAATGCTAACCTACGTGCAGTTTCCCAAAGGAGAATGCTTTGCAGAGCAGCGTGTCCCTTACTAAGGGCAAGAAATCCTGACAGACAAGGAGCTCTGATTTCCCCCATGTTAAAAAGGGGAGCTAAGCAGCCGCAGCAAAGAGGTAAGGTCAACTCACCAGAGTTGGGTTCCAAACAAAGAGTCCCTGAAAGCAGAATCCCCTCTTTTACTCCAACACAGACTGGAGGTCTACCAAGGCTACCGACTACGATTGCCTTCACACTAAAAGTGGCTCACTTTCCACCACCACAGAACCATCCCAAACAAAAAGCTAATTAATATGGAATTGTCCTTATTTTCCAAGTGCTAACTAACTACCCTAAGAAACTCTCAATTATTTAGTTCTGATTCAATCATGCCAGACTCCGAAGTGTCAGCAGTCACTGCTCATCAACTCTGCTCAGGGTCTCACCTGCTAACCTGCTCAATCAATGCTGAGCCTCAGCAAAACCACCATGGAGGTTAAGAGTGGCAAGAAAATCAGACCAAAGATGAATTTACAAGTAGTCACTTTGTTATCCCTATTTTCCTCCTAGCAGCACTGAAGTGTCATTTACAGGAGGTACCTTGCCAGCAGAGCTCCTCTTCACAGCACCATTAAGCTGTGGTGGCCCTTCCTACTGACAAAAGCAAGGCAGAGCAAAGACTTCTAGGGAAGAAGTAAAAAGACAGTCCAGCACTATAGCTCCTAATCCCATAAGAATTAGAACGAGGGCTGGGGATGTGGCTCAAGCGGTAGCGCGCTCGCCTGGCATGCGTGCGCCCAGGTTCGATCCTCAGCACCACATACAAAGATGCTGTGTCCGCCGAAAACTAAAAAATAAATATTAAAAAATTCTCTCTCTCTCTCTCTCTCTCTCTCTTTAAAAAAAAAAAAAAAAAAAAAAATTAGAATGAACCAAGATGAAACAGAACTGCCTGCCAGCTCCCAGGGATAAACTCTAACCCCAAGACAGTATGTCAGAATCATTGTCTTGGGCCGGGGCATAGTTGAAATTGTTTGCTTAGCATGTGCTAGGCCCTTGGTTCCATCCTCAGCACTGGGGGTGGGGTGGGGGGGTCCTTTCTTGACCTCCAAACCAGGTACAGATCTGAGCTCCCACAAAGGCCAGCTTTCCTTCACCACCCCACTGTGGCAATAGCACCACCAGCCTGTCCCACTAAGTTCCCAGGTTCAGGATTTTCCCACTCTGTGTCCTCTACTCCCTCATCCAATTAGTCTCAAGAACAAGTAAGGAAGGCAGCACAATATAGAACTTCAGACCTAAAAACTTCAGGAAAGGAGGTTTTGGCAAAAGTTTCTACTCATTCTTCATGTGCATCAATTAACTAAAATTCACTGGACCAAACTCACTGGACAAAAAGACCATTTTAAAGAAACAACCATAACCTATAATATTAACTCATGGAAAAAACACAACTGAAAAGACATTTTTCTTTTTTAAAAATTTGCAATGCTCTGGTTGCCCCAATTTAAAAAAATTATTGAAAACACCTAATTAACTATCACCAATAATGTGGTCAACAACTTTTAGTTCTTAAATAGTTCTTCCAAAAAATTTCAGACCCATCCTACTCATGAAACCCTGTATATAGAAGCCCACCTCCCCCTCTTATGATGTGCTGCACCATCCTGCTCCTGCCCTGCCTACTCTTGGTAGCTCATCTCAGCACTGACCTCATTCTGACTGGAACCAGGTTCCCCCTCTTCCCCCAAGTCCATGATGTCAAGTTCTGGGCTTTGCAGATACTAGATGAAAAACTGTAGGTCCCTAAGCCTTCACTGCCTCCACTAATATTCCCTCCACTTCTCTAAAAAAGAGCTGCCAGGGCTCCTAAAACCCTCTTTGTCAGCTTGCCCCTCCATTGCTATTCCCTCATCCAAACCCACTGGCCCAATTTCTGTTCCCCATGGGACTCTAGGATATCACTAGAACAAAAAAGAAATGTTCCTCACTATCTGCTACCCCCTTTATCTAAGGAGTTACTTATCTCACCAGAACTTTATCTGAGCTAAAGAACAGCCATTCTCCCCAAAAAGCACACCTCCAATGGATACATAATTTGAAGAAGAACATGACTTGATCGGCACACATCAGCCCATCGACTTTCAGTAATACATTTACGTGCATACAGAACACATGCATTTCATATCACGTGACTTCAAAAGTCAGTGAGAAGAAAAGGCTAACTTAAATACAAGAATCTTAAAAGACATGTATATCTTTTTTTTTCCTTCTTCACACACAAGCATGTCTGTTGTTAAAATGATTTGAAGCAGTTTAATAATAAGTAAGCTTCCCCCAAAATAAGGCTTTTGGGGTTAATGTGATACAAATGAAAAATAATAACAGGAATTTTACTAAGAAAACAGCTTATAAAAGTAATTTAAGGACACAAGGTGCTATCCAAAAGGACTAATCTGCCACAAACTGGAAGACCAGCAACTGCTTAGTTAACTCAAAAGATACAACCTTGCTTGGAGTCTATTATTTCAACTATTCTCAGACAAAACTTGGTCAGCTTAAAGCCAAACTCTTAGCAGAGTACTGAACAAACACTTGAATAACTTCACTGAGTGGGAAGGGGCGGGGGAAATCAAGTGGGTTTGTTTTTTCCCCTTCATTCCTAGGGATGAAACTCAGGGCCTTGCACATGCTAGGCAAACACTCTATCACTGAGTTACACACTCAACTCTGCAATATGGCTTCATAGTCACCTCAAACAGTAGCACCACAAAGCCTAACTGTTCTAAACATTCACTTCAGAGAACAAGCCATATCACAAACATCCTGTAGAATATGCTTTAAAAAAAGAAAAAAAAAAAAAAGGTAATCACTTGGATCCAGAGTTTGTTCCAGAATCCTGACCATATGTGACCCTTCCCCTACCCTTATACTAGCAAAAAAGAAACTCTGTGCCTAGTTCCCTGTCCTGTCTCCTCACAGTTCCAAACTCTGGCAAAGGCAACCCAACTCAGTGCTCTGTAACCCTGCATCTCAATGTCTTTACTCTGTGACTTTGTTTCCACAAAGTACAAGGAACAACAGAAGCTTACTGAAAATTATATTTGGAAGTCCTAGACAGTAAGAACCCATACTCTTCCCAGCACAATGACAGATGAACTATGACTGCTTTAGAAAACAAAAACTGAAATTTAGGAAAAGAGTCAAAACCAACTTTTTACCCAGCTTTCTTTCCATTTGTAACCTTTTCATAACTCCTGAAATACTGATTAACTTGGAGAAAGGGGATTCATAAGTAATAAATACTGACAATCCACTACCAAACTCTCATGTTATAAACATCCCCTAAACCATAAGTAAAAATAACTACAACTCAAATGCCTTACCATCCTTGTTAACAGCAGTGACTCTGGCCGGGTAAAAACGACAATCAGACCAGCAAGCAAGGACCTGCTCGTTTATTTGAAATTCCTAAAAAACAAAACAAAAACAAACAAAAAATAACAAAAAAAAACCCTGTTACCAACTGCATTCCACAGGACACACGTTGTACCAAATATAAAAGAAGCTGGGTTTGACAAGAGAGTGAGAAGTGGGGATGGAATATTGGGTAAGAGGAAGATGATTCTGCTGTTCAGCATAGGGAATCAAAACAAGAGGACTGGGACACCAGATCTCCCCAAGCCAGGGAAATCTGGGTAAGCACATCACAGCTTTGAGGATAATAATCCCCTCATATCCATGATACACAATGAAAGCAAGTTTAAGAACCCAGGACCACCAGGGAACACACCCAATTTAGAGCTGGGAGAAATGAAGCTACTTCATCTTCAAGGAAGCAGCAATCACACTATTTAATGCCACCCACACTTCTATAAGATCTTTTGCCAAGGGAGACAACCATTCACCTTTAATATTTTATATTTTCCCAGCACATGATTTGCATTGATAAATTCTGTAAAATGAATACTGAACAATCAATAGAATATTGGAAGGAAAAAACAAAAAAGGCCAGCCAGAGTTCAAGTTCCCTAGTGAGGATAAAAACTGGAAAACAGAATCCAGGCAGAGTCAGATCTAAAATCAGCAGAACTACTACAGAAGTCTCAATGCCCATTTTAAAAACTTAAAACTAATACTTCATACATCATTTTATTTTGTGTGTGTGTGTGTGTGTGTGTGTGTGTGTGTGTGTGTGGAGCTGGAGAGTAAACCCAGGGCCTTATACATGTTAGGCAAGCCCTCTATCACCAAGCTACACCACAATCTGGGTAAGTCATTTTGAAATCAATAGAAGCTCCAGGCGTAGTGATAAAATTTAGAAAACAAGAATGCAGTCTAACCAATTCTGGGTTCCTCAAGGACTCCATAAAAGACCTTGTGTATGAAAATAGAATGGAATCCACATGCAGAATGATACTTTTATAAATTATCAGGCAGCAGATAAGCTTAATAAATGATCTAGATGTCTAGATACAGAGGATCTAGAATTCAATCATTCATTCATTTATTTAACAAATATTTACTAAAAACCTATTACATGCCAGGCATTGTTCTACAGGCTAGGAAAACACTGATATAAAAAAGAAATCGAGATGCTGAGCATCTCAGTAACTTGGGAATTCCACCAATAATCCCAGCATGCCAGTAATCCCAGTAACTCTGGAGACTGAGGCAGGAGGATCATAAATTCAAGACCAGCCTCAATAAATTAGCAAGGCCCTAAGCAACTTAGTGAGACCCTATCTCAAAATAAAAACTAAAAAACTAAATAGTAGGGATGTAGCTCAGTGGTAAAGTGCCCCTGGGTTCAATTCCCAGTACCGAAAAAAAAAAAAAAGAAAGAAAGAAGGTCCTGTTCATCATCAATGCAGCTCAGCCTAGTTAGTTTATAAGCTGTCAGGTCAATCACATCAAACAGATGAAGAATGAAATACTTCAAGAGCCCCAGGCACCAGAGAAATCTCAGGGATACAACTATAGGCCAAAATAAGGACTGGTTCCCAGCTGCTATTGACTTTCACACTGAACACCAAAGACTGGAACACAAACTACCCAATGGCTGATCTCACTCATTACAGAACTTGCCAAATTTATTACTCACAGAAGATCCATCCTCTTCATGTAAACCCTCTTTCCTCAGCTGTATTTTCTCTAAAGGGCGTAAATAAGGACTGTCCCAGCAGAACCACTCATCATAACGATGGTTCCAACGCTTGAAATGAATGAGTACTTTTCCTTCTTCGTAGTCAATGTCTTCTATATGAGCTGGATACCTGAGTCAGAAAAGAATTAAAATTCCTTTAATATCCACTGAAAATATCCAAAATGTTACCCTTCCAAACCTCTTCCCACAGAATGTTACCAAAGTATTAAAGGCCTACCATTTAGAGATTCTGTGTAATTGGGTCAAATAAACTATGGAGGTAACATTCTAGTTCAAATTGCAACCTAGATATTACATAGTTTATGAACTATTAAACTAACCTTTCAGAATCTAAGTTCTCCCATGTAAAGTGGGTTACCAGTTGAAAGAGACAACATAAACATAAGGGCTGAGCACACAGGCAGCAGGAAGCAAATATTTAACAACTGGATTATATTTAATGTGTGCCAATATATTAGATTAATCATGCAACCTAGACTCTACCTGATATTCTCAACTGTAAGCATTCTGTAATCGATGTAAAAGTAGAAAGCTCTCCTACAATGTGAATCAGAACACTATATGGTAAGCTGTTTTTAAAAGAAGATAAATATATACACAAGAAACTAATAACAGTGGTTACTTGTAGAAAAGAGTGGTCAGTTCAACAGATGAGCTCTTCTTTTTCTGCAGTGCTGGGGATTGAACCCAAGACCATGCACATGCTAGGCAAGCACTCTACCGCTGAGCTAAACCCCCAGCCTTCCATGGGCTCTTTCAAACTCTACCCATCCTTCTGGACTGAGAGTTGGGAAACAAACAATGTCATTTTCCAGACTCCGGTATAATTTACATTTAGCAACCAAGGTCTCTATGACCCATGCGTTAGTGGCCAGACCAAGTATACAGTGCAAGGCCTCTCAAACTTGCAAGTATATATAAACCATCAGGGGATATTGTTTAAATGCAAGTTCTGATTCAGTAGGCCAAATTAGGGTTTAAGAGCTTTGACAAGGATTGGGCACATAGCTTCATGGCCAAGCATTTGCCTAGCATACATGAGGCCCTGGGTTCAGTTGCCAACATCATAAAAAAAAGAAAAGTGTTCAAGAGCTCTGACAAGCTCCCAGTTGATACTGCTTGTGTGAGGCACTGAGTTCAATCCTCAGCACCACATAAAAATAAATAAAATAAAGTTATCATTCTATCTACTAAAAAATTTTTTTAGTAAAAAATAAATAAAAGTTGGGGTTGGTGGCACACACCTATAATCCCAGTGGCTAAGGAGGCCAAGGCAGGAGGATCGCAAATTTGAGGACGGCATCAGCAACTTAGAGAGAACCTAAGCAACTTAGTGACAGCCTATTTCAAAATAAAAAATAAAAGATGGGCTGGGGCTGTAGCTCAATGGAAGAGCACTTGCCTAGCATGTGTGAGGCACTGGGTTCCATTCTCAGCACCACATACAAATAAATAAAATAAAGGTCCATAAACAACTTAAAATATATGTATATTTAAAAAGTAAAGAATAAAAAGAACTGGGGATGTGGTTCAATGATAAAGTGCCTCTGGGTTCAATCCCCACTACCAAAAAATAAACAAACAAAAAATAAAAATATCATAAGCAGCAGCTCTCTTAAATAGACTTATATTGATCAAATTATTATTTTGGAGTAAGAAATTTTAGGGTCTACCAACATTTTCTCCCTACAACTTGGATTTGCACATTTCCCTCCTTCTCCTATATCCAGCACCTAGAATAGTACTGTCATAATAAGTAGGTGCTACTTAAATGAATAGTATCTATATATTGTGTCCTCTTCAAACTTCCCACTCGTGTCCTCTAAGGCAGTTTGTTTGGCATTTACCTATCACAGTACCTTGCATACACTGATACTCAATAAATGTTCAGTAGATGAATTCTGCTCTTCCTATTCTTCCCAAAGGTCATGTGTCCTGTGAATTTTTCAGTTCCAAGGTTCTTATACTCCAACTTCCCATTCCAATGTCAGACCCTCAACAAGTTGAGGCCTTTATCATTTCATGTGCATCCTCCCACAGGAATGACACTGCATGCTTTCAAATAATGGTACCGTACACACATTCTGTATTACTCAAAAAAATTAACAGAGCCAGGCACAGTGGAGCATGCCTATAATCTTAGCAGCTTGGAAGGCTGAGGCAGGAGGATCATGAGTTCAAAGCCAGCCTTAGCAATTTAGCAAGGCCCTACACAACTCAGTGAGACCCTGTCTCTAAATAAAATATAAAAAAGGGTTGATGATGTGACCCCTGGGTCCAATTCCCAGTATAAATAAATAAATAACAAAAGGGATAAAAAGTCCTGAGAGTAGTCTTCTATGCCAACCCAACTGACAGCTGCTATAAATATAAGCTGTCTTAACAGCCTTAACAGCAAAAAACTGTTTGTATAATCTCCTGAATTGAGCAGTACAATTGTGGGAAACAAGACAGGATTTCCTAAATCTATTCCTCTCAGTAAAATGGGGAAATGGACAAAATATATCAATTATAAACTTCTTGCTCTCTCATTCATTCTGCCTACAGAGACTGATGACCTCTCTAAAATAACAATCTGTCCTAACATATAATGTTTTAATATCACCAGCAGGAGGTTTCAAAGACAGGGTGTTTGAACTAATACAGTGAATTAATTGTTACAGAATTAAATTTTATTTAATTTACAGAACCTTTCTTTGTACTGCATTCACATTCTTTCTAGGTTTGGGGGTTGAAATATACCTTTTAAATTAAAACTGGTAATTTTTAAATACCCTTACTAATATTATGCAGCTGTTAAAAAGAACGAAGCAGCTTTACATGATCTTAAAAGATATGTCTAAGAAAAGTGAAGAAGTGGCAGTGGATGGCAGAGATATAAAACAGTAATGCACTACCACTTATTTGGAGGAGGGGAGAGAGCCAATACATTCATACCTGTGTTTAACTGCGTGGGCTATTTCTGGAAGGATGATCAAGCGGGTTGGCCTCTTGGGAGAGGAACTGGATAGTTAAGGAACTGGAGAGGAAGTATGAAACTTATTTTACTCAATGTATATCCTTTTGTTTGTTTTGAATGTTGTACCATGAGCACGTATTAACTATGCAAACTATATAATTAAATATTTACTCTAAATTACCGTTACTTGGCAAAATAGAAAGTGGGAAAACTCAGGATACATTCCAAATTCTTTTGAATTGTATTGGTCAGTGCCTTCTAAAAGTCTGGGAAGTCAGGAGTCATAAAATCAAGTGTGAACTCCTAGACTCCCTACTCTGCTGCATACACACAGATCTGAAGGGGTCTCTGCATCCTTAAAGCCGAAAGCTTTACCCTCACTCAAAAGAACTTCACTGGGCAAAAAATAAAAACAATTTTTTCCTCCACTGGGCAAAGGTATTCCACTGTCTGCAGAACTAAAGAAACTACTCCAAAAAGCTTAACAGTAGTCAGGAGACAAAGTTTCCTCAAGAGAAACTGTCCTATCTATAAGTGTGACAAACAAGCAAGCCACTAATAGGAGAGTAGGGTACCGAACTGCATTTCAAAAAAGGAGAAGGCAGCAAAGACCATCTCAGAGATCACCCCAGTAAGACTTGGTAAATCACAATTGCTATCTGTCTTGGGAACAGTTCAGCTTCATTAGTCAACAGGACTTTATTAAGTGTCTTTGATCTGGCCTGCCAATTCCAAGTCTTGGAAGAAATTACACACACACGTATGTTCAGATCTCTGTCCTGGATTGAACCCACGGATGCTTCACCACTGAGCTACATCTCCAGACCTTTTTGGTTTTTATTTTGAGACAAGATCTCACTAAGCTGCTGAAGGTCTCACTAAATTGCTAAGGCTGGCTTTGAATTTGTGATCCTCCTGACTCAGCCTCCCAAGCTGCTGGGATTACAGGTGTATGCTACTGCACCTGGCTGATTAAACTTTAAAACCATTAACTTGAACTCACAAAATGGCTGGTAACCAACTGCTTTTATCCATGAAGAGAGTAATTTCACCTGGTCCAACCTGGAGACAACTATAAGGTTGGCTAAAGAGAATAAGGCAATGTAAAAAAAGAAGAAGTGTTTGGGCTGGGGTTGTGGCTCAGCGGTAGAGCACTCACCTCGCACGTATGAAAACCTGGGTTCGATCCTCAGCACCACATAAAAAAATAAATAAATGAAATAAAGATATTGTGTCCAACTACAACTAAAAAATAACTATTAAAAAAAAGAAGAGGTGTAAATGGAATTTGTACAGGTAGAAAAGGGAACAGAATTTCAAGCTTCAATTTGTGGCTAACAGTGACTGATGATATTGATATGTTAGCTTCCAAATCAACACTGCACCTGAAACTCACATTTCTAACCAATGGGAATATCAGTCAGAAGAAGCAGATATTAAACACCAAAGTAGCAATAAAAGTTAGCTATATGGGGCTGGGGATGTGGCTCAAGCGGTAGCGCGCTCGCCTGGCATGCGTGCGGCCCGGGTTCGATCCTCAGCACCACATACAGACAAAGATGTTGTGTCCGCCAAATACTAAAAAATAAATATTTTTTTAAAAAAAAGTTAGCTATAAAAGTTAGCTATGGGGGCTGAAGATGTAGCTCAGTGGTAGAGCATTTGCCTTGCATGTGCAAGGTGCTGAGTTAGATCCCAAGCACCACATGCATATGTGCGAGCATGCATACACAAAAGGTAATTATGGGGAGGGGGAAAAGATTACAAATGACCAAGAGGATTTTGCTTATGCTTTGAATTTTTACAAGATTTAGGCACATATTACCTCTGTAAATAAAAATATATACTTTTACAAGTCCTGATGATTCCAGCAATTCAGGAGGCTAAGGCAGGAGGACTTCAAGTTCAAGGCCATTAAAGTTATCATTAGTCTTGGCAACTTAGCAAAAGGAGTTTCAAAATAAAAATAATAGAGGTGAGGATGCAGTGAGACCCTGTCTCTAAATAAAATACAAATAGGGCTGGGGATGTGGCTCATTGGTCAAGTGCCCCTGAGTTCATCCCCAATACCAAATAAAATAAATTTTAAAAAATAAAAAGAGATGAGGATGGTAAAGTGCACCTGGGTTAAATCTCCTGTACCACAAAAT